AAATTAGATGCTGCAAAATGTGTTGGAATCACTGCTCACTTACATAATGAACTGTTTCGGGAAATGATCTCTCACCTTTCAATTGATCTTATCATTGTGTTTGTTGGGAGGGTTATGTTTCCCATAAAACATTTCTCTTGAAACCCCTAAAAAAAATAGAAATAATTAGATGCTGCAAAATGTGTTGGAATCACTGCTCACTTACATAATGAACTGTTTCGGGAAATGATCTCTTACCTTTCAATTGATAAATATCTGTAACAAACAACTTAGGCCTCATTGGAAAGGTAAACCAAACAACTCAGTGATATCGGAGCCCAGAGAATAAAACAGGAAATGCTCTTGAAGAGGACTGCCACAGAGCGTGGTCTACTTTTTAAGCTTTTCCTACGTTCCCTATTTCAATTAGCTTCTTTGCAAAACCAATATTAGCGTCTTGGTTGGAGTGCTCCCAAAACTGACGCCATGTTCTCCCATGTTTTCTCTCTCTCCGCTCTTTCCTCTCTCTCTCTCTCTACAACTGTGGTAAAAGCGACACTCGTTTGTTTCCCTTTCGACTCCTCGATCCAGCTGCTAGCAGAAAGCTTCCACTTCGCTCGTTCGCGAGGAAATGTGGTTCTGTGAGTTGAGTTGTACGTTTTGAGAAACAAAACTAAATGGTTCTGTTGTGTCTGTGCATGACACTAACTAATTTCTTGCTGTTATTTTTTTTTCAGGTAAGTGTAGATTGAGGATCCAAATGCAGCATTGGACTGGCTTGAAATTCAATTCTGGAGGCTCATCAATGAAGGTATGTATATCACATTGGTTTCTGTGGCTCTTTAATTTGTATTAATGTGGTTATAGTTCAAAGATCATTTTTTGTGGTTTCAGGGTGGAAGCTCCAATTTTTGATCACCAACAGTTGCTTTTTGGTTATGAAGTTGAACGTACTTATTTTGTAAAGTGATCTGTTACGAATTTTAATAAAAATTGTTTGGATTGAATTGTATACCATTTGATTTGGATGATGACGCCCTTTTTGACGTGAGATGGAACTATTGTGAACAGTTAAGGGGCTAAATTTTATCAGATATTGTAAGGGAGGGTGGGGCAGTTAGTGACACTTTTTGGAAATCGAGCTTATTTCGCTTATTTTCGGCCAAATGTTGAGCACGAAAGCTTAGATAGTTTCTTGCAACCTTTTCCGAGGTAATGCAGGTGGTGGTTCGATGAGTTACGAGCCGGTGTGCCGTCAAATTGGCTTGAACTGGAGCCCTGCATTTGTCACTATGTACCCCGGCCCGGGGCAGTTAGTGACAGAGGTTCGGCCACTTAGTGGCAACGGTATAAAATTGCATTAAACCTAGTTTTTACTATCTGAAACGATTCTTTTGACTAAATTGATGATAATTACTGAATAGTCTAGTATGAAGGCATGATCAATGGTGTCCAAGTTAAATGGGGGTTGGTCCAAGAAGTGGGATTTTTTTAATTTATTATTTTCATGGACTGCCAAGGGGTAACTTGTGAAAGTAGAGCCCTGTGGGCCAAAATTTCGTCCGTTTGGCTCTATCTCTCACTGTTTAGGCGCTAGAGGGCGTTTTACACACAAAACTGGCCCAAAAATAAATATATTAATTCCAGAAAATAATTGATGGTCTCGTAAGGGGTAACTTGTGAAAGTAGAGCCCTATGGGCTAAAATTTCGCCCGTTTGGCTCTATCTCTCACCGTTTAGACGCTAGAGGGAGTTTTACTCACAAAACTAGTTTTAAATGTAGTTTCGAACCATTCTGGACCTGAAAAGCCAATAGAGGTTAGACCACACATGTCAGTACAGTGCATTATGTCAACAGAGTCGATAAGATTCATCATAGGACTAGGTTTTGAATGAATAGAAAGAAATACGCGTTGTAATATAAAGATCTTGGTGTCACTAACTGCCCCGGCAAAAACTGTCACTATCTACCCCAAGTGCTGAACGGTGTTTCAACGTGAACGAGAGGTTAACTCGTCGGACTAAGTTCGGACCGCGAGTAAAATCATTACGTATATAGTCCATACCAATCACAGAAAACTCCGTACGGTGAAGTTGGCGATATCTACGGAGTATTTACAAAAAGAAAAAGGGGCAAAAGTCGAAACTTACCTCAAAATTGTGATGAGACACATTCAAAGTTTCACCGCCGCCATAACAATCTGCCGAACACCACCGCCTTGTGGCAAATGTTTTTCGAGCTCTGAAACTTGTTTAAGCCGATCGAAGTTAGCGCGAAATTTCAATAGGACGGCCTGGGGTGACAAGTGTCACTAACTGCCCCTGTCACTAACTGCCCCACCCTCCCTTACTAAAACTTGAATTATTTTAAAAGAGTTTATTTAAGTTCAAAGGAGTCAGATAAATGATGAAATGCAGGCAATTCAAATTGTGCCGAGAGGCAACAAGCCTCCAGTAAAAGGCAGTTAAATATTCAGAAAAATAGTCATTTCAAAGCCCAGAGAGGCAGTACAAGCCTCCTGTACAGTTATGTAGGTTAGACAAGTCAATTAAATAAATAAAATATGCTACTTTTAAAAAGAACTAACTTAGGTCACTCTGACGCCAGAGAGGTCAGTCTTCGTCTGATGAGATAACCTCATCATAAGCAGCTTCTTCACGAACCGCAGCCCTCTCCCCAGTGCATGCGTTCACAGCAGAGCCGAAGTTAGCCTGGGAGAGGTGAGGAAATCGTTGCAGAACAAAATCTGTAATGAAACATGAAAACATTAAAATCTAATACATTGATAAATACAATAAATGACTATTTTAAATTACTGTTACAAAAATACTAGAACTTTAAGAATTCATTGTGAAAAAAAATTGCCAAAACTGACTGTTAGGGAAAACACTTCTGTGATGTCAAAAAATAGTTAACTTTAGTAAGTGTGACTGACTGGGCCGCACAACCCTTGTAAACTAAAATAGCAATGATGCATGATTTGCAGCTACAAAGAAGTGTTTTGATTTTACAGTTGCCCCAAATTAATCAAATCACAAAATATAAACCTACCTTGTATGTCCCTCATCAACTGATACTTCTTAAGCGCTGGCTTTTGCCCATTCCGTCGCTTCTGGCCAGCATAGGTGGAGCGCATGAGGCGCCTTTTGGAGAGGGGAGCTCGTACAAGATACATTGTCATAGCGGTGCCCGTCCTAGCTGCCTTCGCCTGGATTAAGCCAGTCTTTGAGAGGGTCAGGCATTTACCGATCTTAACCTGAACAAAACAAATGAATAACCATTAGATATGATGTAAATCAATGATATTTTTAAACAGTGATTACTAGAGTTGAGTTAAATGGATGACAGACAAGAACATTTACCTGGTCAGGTTCATGGCTGGGGCCAGCAGCTGGTTGATTCACATTACCCGGGAGCTGTGCCACGGCCCCCATAATTGCCGCCATGATGTCTGTGAAACAATTAAGTCAAGTTAAAAAGTTGAAATATTAACACAATTGCACAAAGCCGTTTAACATAGAAAATTTGTGCTTACCGTTCTGGTTGATTGCTGGAGCGGGGGGAGGAACATTAGGAGGCAAAACAGCTCCAGCAGCCTGACCTGGAGCAACCACACCTGCATTGTGTCCAGCTGGTGCTACTTGTGCTATTTGAGCTGCAGCTTGTTGCTGCTGCTGCTTCGCTCTTGCTGCATTAAGTTCATTCATCTTCCCACGCAAGAAGTCCAGGCTTCCTGCAGGCAATGGTAAAATATGCAGCAGGTGAAAATTTAGAATCATGTTTAGTACACATTTCCTTTCGGGCGCTGCTGTCACTATATTTCAATGAGCGGCAATGCCAGAAGGGCAAAATGCAAGAGGAACTACCCTCTGACCAGTGAGCCCAGTAAACAAAAGCACTCACTGAGTCATTTGACTGGTCTCTGTCGTCCAAGTGAGTTTGGAGCAGAAACTCACTCATTTCGACGTCGAAAACCAGTCAAATAACTCAAGTTGAGTCTTTAGAGTTTAATGGGAAAGCGTGTGGTTCGTTAAGAAGCATATTTACCTGACACCTCGAGCA